TTTTTTTGTAATTTTTTTGTTGTGATATACTTGTTGAAATTCAAGAAACTTAGGAAATGTCCTAATGCTGAAGTTCTGAACGCCATAACTCAACTTATATTAATCGGATTTTGAAGTGGCATACCTCTAAATGTTTCTGGCGCAATTCTCTAAAAATCTGCATTCAAATTTAAATATTTATTTTTTTTCAATTTTTTTGTAATTTTTTTGTTGTGATAACTTGTTGAAATTCAAGAAACTTAGGAAATGTCCTAAGGCTGAAGTTCTGAACGCCATAACTCAACTTATATTAATCGGATTTTGAAGTGGCATACCTCTAAATGTTTCTGGCGCAATTCTCTAAAAATCTGCATTCAAATTTAAATATTTATTTTTTTTCAATTTTTTTGTAATTTTTTGTTGTGATACACTTGTTGAAATTCAAGAAACTTAGGAAATGTCCTAATGCTGAAGTTCTGAACGCCATAACCCAACTTATATTAATCGGATTTTGAAGTGGCATACCTCTAAATGTTTCTGGCGCAATTCTCTAAAAATCTGCACTCAAATTTAAATATTTATTTTTTTTCAATTTTTTTGTATTTTTTTTTGTTGTGATAACTTGTTGAAATTCAAGAAACTTAGGAAATGTCCTAAGGCTGAAGTTCTGAACGCCATAACTCAACTTATATTAATCGGATTTTGAAGTGGCATACCTCTAAATGTTTCTGGCGCAATTCTCTAAAAATCTGCATTCAAATTTAAATATTTATTTTTTTTCAATTTTTTTGTAATTTTTTTGTTGTGATACACTTGTTGAAATTCAAGAAACTTAGGAAATGTCCTAATGCTGAAGTTCTGAACGCCATAACTCAACTTATATTAATCGGATTTTGAAGTGGCATACCTCTAAATGTTTCTGGCGCAATTCTCTAAAAATCTGCATTCAAATTTAAATATTTATTTTTTTTCAATTTTTTTGTAATTTTTTTGTTGTGATACACTTGTTGAAATTCAAGAAACTTAGGAAATGTCCTAAGGCTGAAGTTCTGAACGCCATAACTCAACTTATATTAATCGGATTTTGAAGTGGCATACCTCTAAATGTTTCTGGCGCTATTCTCTAAAAATCTGCATTCAAATTTAAATATTTATTTTTTTTCAATTTTTTTGTAATTTTTTTGTTGTGATACACTTGTTGAAATTCAAGAAACTTAGGAAATGTCCTAATGCTGAAGTTCTGAACGCCATAACTCAACTTATATTAATCGGATTTTGAAGTGGCATACCTCTAAATGTTTTTGGCGCAATTCTCTAAAAATTTGCATTGAAATTTAAATATTTATTTTTTTTCAATTTTTTTGTAATTTTTTTGTTGTGATACACTTGTTGAAATTCAAGAAACTTAGGAAATGTCCTAATGCTGAAGTTCTGAACGCCATAACTCAACTTATATTAATCGGATTTCGAAGTGGCATACCTCTAAATGTTTCTGGCGCAATTCTCTAAAAATCTGCATTCAAATTTTAATATTTATTTTTTTTCAATTTTTTTGTAATTTTTTTGTTGTGATATACTTGTTGAAATTCAAGAAACTTAGGAAATGTCCTAATGCTGAAGTTCTGAACGCCATAACTCAACTTATATTAATCGGATTTTGAAGTGGCATACCTCTAAATGTTTCTGGCGCAATTCTCTAAAAATCTGCATTCAAATTTAAATATTTATTTTTTTTCAATTTTTTTGTAATTTTTTTGTTGTGATAACTTGTTGAAATTCAAGAAACTTAGGAAATGTCCTAATGCTGAAGTTCAGAACGCCATAACTCAACTTATATTAATCGGATTTTGAAGTGGCATACCTCTAAATGTTTCTGGCGCAATTCTCTAAAAATCTGCATTCAAATTTAAATATTTATTTTTTTTCAATTTTTTTGTAATTTTTTTGTTGTGATAACTTGTTGAAATTCAAGAAACTTAGGAAATGTCCTAAGGCTGAAGTTCTGAACGCCATAAGTCAACTTATATTAATCGGATTTTGAAGTGGCATACCTCTAAATGTTTCTGGCGCAAATCTCTAAAAATCTGCATTCAAATTTAAATATTTATTTTTTTTCAATTTTTTTGTAATTTTTTTGTTGTGATACACTTGTTGAAATTCAAGAAACTTAGGAAATGTCCTAAGGCTGAAGTTCTGAACGCCATAACTCAACTTATATTAATCGGATTTTGAAGTGGCATACCTCTAAATGTTTCTGGCGCAATTCTCTAAAAATCTGCATTCAAATTTAAATATTTATTTTTTTTCAATTTTTTTGTAATTTTTTTGTTGTGATACACTTGTTGAAATTCAAGAAACTTAGGAAATGTCCTAAGGCTGAAGTTCTGAACGCCATAACTCAACTTATATTAATCGGATTTTGAAGTGGCATACCTCTAAATGTTTCTGGCGCAATTCTCTAAAAATCTGCATTCAAATTTAAATATTTATTTTTTTTCAATTTTTTTGTAATTTTTTTGTTGTGATAACTTGTTGAAATTCAAGAAACTTAGGAAATGTCCTAATGCTGAAGTTCTGAACGCCATAACTCAACTTATATTAATCGGATTTTGAAGTGGCATACCTCTAAATGTTTCTGGCGCAATTCTCTAAAAATCTGCATTCAAATTTAAATATTTATTTTTTTTCAATTTTTTTGTAATTTTTTTGTTGTGATACACTTGTTGAAATTCAAGAAACTTAGGAAATGTCCTAATGCTGAAGTTCTGAACGCCATAACTCAACTTATATTAATCGGATTTTGAAGTGGCATACCTCTAAATGTTTCTGGCGCAATTCTCTAAAAATCTGCATTCAAATTTAAATATTTATTTTTTTTCAATTTTTTTGTAATTTTTTTGTTGTGATACACTTGTTGAAATTCAAGAAACTTAGGAAATGTCCTAAGGCTGAAGTTCTGAACGCCATAACTCAACTTATATTAATCGGATTTTGAAGTGGCATACCTCTAAATGTTTCTGGCGCAATTCTCTAAAAATCTGCATTCAAATTTAAATATTTATTTTTTTTCAATTTTTTTGTAATTTTTTTGTTGTGATACACTTGTTGAAATTCAAGAAACTTAGGAAATGTCCTAATGCTGAAGTTCTGAACGCCATAACTCAACTTATATTAATCGGATTTTGAAGTGACATACCTCTAAATGTTTCTGGCGCAATTCTCTAAAAATCTGCATTCAAATTTAAATATTTATTTTTTTTCAATTTTTTTGTAATTTTTTTGTTGTGATACACTTGTTGAAATTCAAGAAACTTAGGAAATGTCCTAAGGCTGAAGTTCTGAACGCCATAACTCAACTTATATTAATCGGATTTTGAAGTGACATACCTCTAAATGTTTCTGGCGCAATTCTCTAAAAATCTGCATTCAAATTTAAATATTTATTTTTTTTCAATTTTTTTGTAATTTTTTTGTTGTGATACACTTGTTGAAATTCAAGGAAATGTCCTAAGGCTGAAGTTCTGAACGCCATAACTCAACTTATATTAATCGGATTTTGAAGTGGTATACCTCTAAATGTTTCTGGCGCAATTCTCTAAAAATCTGCATTCAAATTTAAATATTTATTTTTTTTCAATTTTTTTGTAATTTTTTTGTTGTGATACACTTGTTGAAATTCAAGAAACTTAGGAAATGTCCTAATGCTGAATTTCTGAACGCCATAACTCAACTTATATTAATCGGATTTTGAAGTGGCATACCTCTAAATGTTTCTGGCGCAATTCTCTAAAAATCTGCATTCAAATTTAAATATTTATTTTTTTTCAATTTTTTTGTAATTTTTTTGTTGTGATACACTTGTTGAAATTCAAGAAACTTAGGAAATGTCCTAATGCTGAAGTTCTGAACGCCATAACTCAACTTATATTAATCGGATTTTGAAGTGGCATACCTCTAAATGTTTCTGGCGCAATTCTCTAAAAATCTGCATTCAAATTTAAATATTTATTTTTTTTCAATTTTTTTGTAATTTTTTTGTTGTGATACACTTGTTGAAATTCAAGAAACTTAGGAAATGTCCTAATGCTGAAGTTCTGAACGCCATAACTCAACTTATATTAATCGGATTTTGAAGTGGCATACCTCTAAATGTTTCTGGCGCAATTCTCTAAAAATCTGCATTCAAATTTAAATATTTATTTTTTTTCAATTTTTTTGTAATTTTTTTGTTGTGATACACTTGTTGAAATTCAAGGAAATGTCCTAAGGCTGAAGTTCTGAACGCCATAACTCAACTTATATTAATCGGATTTTGAAGTGGCATACCTCTAAATGTTTCTGGCGCAATTCTCTAAAAATCTGCACAATCACCTAAAAATGTCTGTTGTGCTACAGATAACTTTCAAAATCGGTTAGGAATGTGATTGGGAGTTGAAGGAAGTAAAGAAATCATTATTTTTACCATATACTCGATTGTGTTGGCCAAAATACAGATGTTCGCCTTTATAACTTGGACATAAGTGGTGTGCATTATGCATTGTTGCTCTGTAAGTTGCGTGGGAATCATACATCCATTTCAATTATTGTTCGCTCTCAATTCAAGGATTTCAGGACCACGACTTGCAATGCGGCAATTGTCCTGGCAACGGCGATTATATTAATTGTCGGAATTTGCGCCGGACTAAGTCGAGCAATCTCTCTAAGCCAACAATAGAAGGGTCTCTGAAACCCGGATGGCGTAAGTAAGCCGGAGCCGGAGCCAACAAAAAAAGGATTATTTTGATTATTTTGCTTGTTCCCGGCGAAAGTGAGTGGGCTGATGGACAACTGGGCTGGGGGCATGTTTATTTCAATGAACTTGCCTTTCAAACGAAATTTTATCATGCTTGGCCAGGCCGAGTTAACCATTTCGCATTTTCCCGAAAAGCATCACAACAATAAACCGAATGCGTGAACAGAGCGCATTTGAATGAAATTTGCTTATGCCCGTGCCTCATATTCTCTCCTCCTCCCTCCCGTAGACATCCAATCCCTGTGGCTAACGAGCTGGCTCAGCTCTGGGAGGACCAGCGGGAGAACCAAGCGGAGCACCGGCGAAGGACTCGGAATTGGAATCGGAATCGGAATCGGAGGCGGAGGCCACGAGAAGCGCGCAGTCAACGTTTACACGCTCCAGCAGCCGCATAAGTTTCCGCTTCAGTTGGACGTGCACGGCGGCGGTAATTGTAGCTTTGATTGCCACCAGGAGCTGGACAGGATCCGTCAGCCGGGCGTCCCAGCACCCCGCCAGCACCAGCAGTCAACACCTTCCTCGGCACGGGCCGAGGAAATCTACGAAACCAAATTTATTGAATGCTCAATGGGTAAGCAACCACTCCTCCCCGCAAAAACAATCACAATCAGCAGGCAGCAATAAGAATTTAAATTAAATTTTCGCCTTTTCCGCCTCTCGTTCCCGGCCTCTCCCGGCCATTTTCCCTCTTCGAATGCGGCAAGTTGAAACAGAAACGCCGTCTGCTGTTTGATTTCAGAGTTCAATTTGCATAATTTTGTTAAGCAACATTTCGACTCGGCCTTCATATTACGCTGGGGTACGGATTTCAATGGGTCATTCATTCGGGTTTCTTATCACGCCGAATCTGTTCTAATAGCATACAAGTACCGCTATCCATATAATCATGTATTTGCTCCAGAGGAAATTAATGGGCCAAAGCTCTCAGTACTTGATCTAAGATACATAACGTGAAATATTTCAAATTGATTCGATTCGCCATACAATTGAAGTAAATCCCAATCCTTCCCCGTTGTCTGCGCAGCCCAAACGATGGACGACGTGGTCTTCCAGTGCAGCAATCAAAACTCGATCTATGTGCTGAATGCCAGCTACGGTTCCTATGGGGTGAGTCCTCAGCGAGTCCACTTGCACATCTATCTGAGCTTCTTTCGTCCTCCTTTCGGCATCCCCCTTACCGCATCTATCCATCTTGGCAGGACTATGGCACATATGCGGCAACAAAGCGTGAAATAAATGGCAGCCGGAGCAGAGCGACAAATCCAATTGGGGCAACTTGCTCGAGTGGCGTCCTGCAGCATAAATTCAAAACTTTCGGCAGTGCCGCAGCAACAACAGCAGCAGCTGCAGCTGCATCTGCAGCTGCATCGGTGCCGGCCCTGGACGCAGCAGCGGGAAGCGCAGCAAGCTACGTAACTCCTGTCGCTACATCAATGTCAACCGCAATGTGTTCACCGGCAACGGCGGCCCTGCAAAAACTGTTCAATTGCAGCGTCGGCGTCGCCTGCCAAAATGTCACCCACGCCCACAGCAACCACAGGAGCAGCAGCAACATCAGCAGCAGCAGCCACATCCACATCAGTGGCAGCAACAACAATGCCGCAGCCAGCAACCATAACAATAGCTGCCTGTCGGCGGCAGGCGGAGTGAGCCTCCAAAACGCCCGGAATCGGAGCCGGAGTGGCGAGTGCCTCGATGGCGCAGCGGGAGCGGTTACCTCGCCAGCTGGAGGCGGAGGCGGTGGCGGTGGAGGAGGAGCAGGTGGCCTCCCTCTGCTCCCAAAGAAGAAATGCACCACTGTCAAATCAGCGCTTATTGCCAAGAAGACAAAGTTTCTCAAATATCTCGAAGAAGAAAAATGGCGCAGCAACGCGGCAGTTCCGGAAGATGCTGGTGCCATCAGGTATGTAACACCCAGACACTCGAAAAAATCGGAGCACACTTGAGTTCAAGACGATGGCAGACGAGGGCTCATAGCCCTGCGAGCAACAGGAAGTTTGATTTTTGGCACTCGTTACCACTTACTTTCTTTTAGTTGTAAGTGCATTCATTTTCTCCCAGTGCAGTTGCCGAGTATGTGCGTTTGAGTCAGTGGGGCAATCTCCTAGCCGTCGCAAAAACTTATAAATTCCCATAAATGTTATAGGGCGTCGTGCAACGCGCTGCAAAATGTGGCAAGTTTTATGACGGCAATCTGGGGGACAAGTGGTGGTTCCGTGGTCCTAGTTGCCATGCCGAAGTGGTTTCTCATTAAGTTGACTGAGGAGCGGCGCATTCCAGCTCTCCCCGGCATCCGATTATTTCTTAATTAATTATTGGAGAACAGCAATCGGCGTTAGTTGCCATTTATATCCATCGAGGCCATTATTCTCGATATCGATTGGACATTCCTCTTGGCTGCGATGCTGGCTTCCTAGTGGCCAAATGCGCCTTTCTTGTCTGGACTGCGGCTTTTAAGCGCTTTCAATTATCTGTCAGCGGACACTTTGTTGCATCGCAGAAACTTTGCGACGTTGTTCACGAAGTCATAAGTTCTGATCATCATCGCTGAGCCAAGTTGCTGACCGCATTTCCACCCGTTTTCCACCCGTTTTCCGCCCGCTTTCCGCATTTCCTCCCAGCCGTCATTTGCGAAATTGAAAAATTATCGCGGTCGCCGTAAACATAAAGTGAGGCGCAAGCATCGGGGCTTAAAGAGGGCTTAAAAAGTTGATTAAACCTCCCATTTTGGCCAGCCCATACAGGCTGCATTGCACATATTGAAGTGCAATAATCACATTCTGCGTAACTTGGCCCCCAAGTTGCAGCTACAAGTTAGGAGCTACCCGTCCCCAGACATCACTCATACGCACAGTTTTCGGGACGCCCTTTGCAATAATGATGTCAGAAGTTCGCTCACTGCACATTTTCGCTGGCAAAGGCGGCTGGGAAAATTTCATTAATTGCAGCAGGCGCAAAGGGCGGGCTTTGCTTTGATTTATTAGTACCCTGTGCGCATTTAATTAGTAAACGTCAGCGGGCAAAAAATGCAGAGCCCTCTTCCTGCTTAGCCATTTCCACGGCGGAAGCTCTCCGGCGCGCATTCATCAACTTTCTGGATGGCGACACCAGGCCACTGACAGGAATGACTCCCAACTTGTGTCGCCAAGTAACCAAGTACTGCGCAAATTTGCAGTGCAAAGTTACTCCCGCTTTTCCGCCGATGCGGCTTAAATGCTCCCCAAAGGTGGCTTAATTCATTGTGGCCACTGGCTGCAGTGCTGCTGGTAGCCTGTCCCCACTTTCCAGACCAATTGTCGCCGCAAATTAAATGGGAATCATTGTTTCCTTTTTAAGTTCTTCTCGCGTGCGGTTGGTGGGAGCAAAGAGTTGCAGCCACTGCAGCCACAGTGTTTTATCGCTTTTATCGATCGAATTGCCTTTGTTATCGCTCGATTTGAATACATTTTGTGGGTCCACCTTTTATATCTTTCATTTTGCACAATTTTGTTTTCATAAACATGCCAACGTGTATTATTATTAATACATATTCACATCGCTCTTTTGTTTTCATAAAACAAGCCATCGTGTATTATTTTATGAGTTCCGCTGAAGTGAGGCACATTTTGGCATTCCCAGGACGATAGAGCCTTAATTTTCCTGTACACATCACTTACCATAACCCTGCCCGTAGCAGCTCATTTCCCACTTTATATCAATTTGCATGGGGACCCTGCTCGTCCTTGCTAATCGCTGCGAGTCCTTCCACGCCACTTGCAGCCATTTGATACGCGTTTAGTTTAGTCAACCAAAAGCTAAATAAACTTTCATTCAACATGCTCGACAGCAATGAGGCGGAGCCACCCACTCCGGGCGGCAACAACAACGGCGGGAACTTGAAAAATCAGAGCAACAGTCGGGAGGCTGGAAGCGGAGGTGCAGGTGGAGGTGGAGGTGGATGTGGCACTGGAAGTGGCACTGGAAGTGGGGGGCAGCTGAACAAACCGACCAACTGGAGCATGCATAATGAGGACACCAGCACGCCGCTGGCCAGCCACCAACTACAACAGCAGGTGAAATCGAGTTTCGAGCTCTACCAGGAGGCAGCCGACATTTTGGGCCTGAGTTGCAGCCTCTGTGATAATTGCCGATGCCTGGACTGCCAGGTGAGTAACCATGGGGATGGGGAGTCGGGAAGCTCGGAAAACAGCTGCTTTTGGTATGATTCATTAGGTCTCGATGGAGTTGGTTTGCTTCACTGGCCACTACTTTCGAGATAGGGAAAACATAAGCCTTGATAACTTAATAGAGATACCTTGTAAACAAAGCGGTGTGTTTTTCCGCAATGACGACTCCCCTGTTCCCGGCCAATCAAGAGCTCAATCCTGAGCCTTAACCAACCAACCATTCCCCCACAGAGCGGTTACTTCGACTGCGACGACGATGATGAGAGCTACTCGGAGCAATCGCTGATGGACGACGAGTACGACGAGTTCGACTGCGTTGCGGAGGAGCTGCAGGCGGCGATGGCAGCACCCCGGCACCAGGAGGTGTCCCGCATGCCCTGCTGCCCGCTGGGGGCGAGTTCCCACCTGCCGCACAAGGCGGACTCTCCGGCCGCACACTCGCCCCCGGAATCGGAATCGGAATCCCTGGGCCATCGAGTGGCCATCGATTTTGATTTAATTAACACCACTTGCAGCCAGGTGCTGCAAAACTGTGAAACATTCAACGATTTGAGTCTGCTAGATGCCGCCGCCGGCGCCGAGCGTCCCTTCACGTAAATCCAGGTAGGTGTTCGGCATGCTGCACACACTACGTGTGTTGTTCGTGGGGCATTCCCCGAATTCCGGAGCGCTGTATGACAACCGTATCCCATCCCAGGCCGGAGCCGATTTGATTTCACCTGCCGCCGGTCAAAGCGCTTTGTGCCTCCTCTCTAACCGGGATCGGGGATGGGGATCCGGGATCTGTCAGAAATCCTCTGCGGACTCGCAGATTGCTACAGCAATTTCTCATTCGTTTCCTGGCGGCGAGAGTGAAACTGAAATTGGGGTTTATGCAAAAATGAGCAAATTGCATTTTATTCCAGGGAAACGGAACGCAACGGCGGCAGGTGACTCCCGACCCAAAGATACCCATCAAGATCTCAAAATTCTGTCGACTTTAAGACTATTCCCGTCTTAGATTGCAGTTGCCACATAAACAATCTCAAAACTATGCACTTTGGCTTCAGTGATTTGCGTCCCTTCAATGACATAAAATGCCATATACCTCCTATGGATGCACAAGTCATGAGTACTTCCCAGGACCGTGCCACCCTCGAACGCAATGAATGCGGGGTACACAAATGCTGAGTTGGCACAGCTTAGTCCAGAGCTTGGCGAGCGAGTTGCTGGGGGATTGGATGGGTTCCGGACCGCAACAGTGGCGAAATGGCGGGGCACTGGTCAGTTTATTGCATTTAGTCAAGTTTCGCTGTTTGCATGGACGATTGCTGGCAACAAATGAAATGCGGTGTTTGGAGGTTGGAGGTTGGAGGATGTAGAGCCAGGAGATTCGGAGGCTGAGGGCTGGCAAATTTGATTTTCCCACACACACAGGCACACACACACTACCGACAGCAGGAAATTTTCCATATTTGTTGAGGGCTCAAAGCAATATGCAAAACATGCACTTCCGTCTGTTTTCCCCCGCTTTTCCGAATTAAACTTTCCATGCTGCACTCGTTTTATTTTGCAGGACTTTTTGTTTGCCGCCCATTCAATTGAAATGCAGTCCAACAAAGGGCCCAAAAGCCAGGCTGAAACTATGAAAAATTCATTGCCATCAGAATGGCAAGCGGCAAAAATGGCAAGTCGAGAGCGTAACTTAAATCGAATTACATTTACCAAATGAAATTTAAAGAGCCAGTCCTGCCGAGTGAGTAATGACTGCTACAAGCGGTGGCAATAAATAGGATGCTCCTCGCCGCCAATCCCCCATAGTCTCCCCCCCTCCAATCCCCACTCCCATCCTTTTGGCCAAGCTCCGCTGCTCGCTGGCAGCCAAAGCGTCCAAAGCCTACCGTCTAAGCCCCGGAGGCTTAGTGTCTACACAGATGCACTGGGAAAGATGCTGATCCCGTTGCTAAGTCAACGCTGTGCTTTGTAGCCATGTTGCAAGGCCACAAGTCTCTTTCTCTGGCTAATCGAAAGAGTATAGCCACCATTACTAGGTAATATGGTGGCTACTCATTTGACAGAAACAACACGCAACTTTTTCCAGTGTAGCATGTGGCCAAGTGTGTGCTCGAATGCGAGGGTGTGGCCGTGCCAACACATCAAGTGCATTTGGTGTTGGCCAACACCTCCCCGAAGGAGCAGCACCCCAGAGCTGCGCCAGCTGTTGGCCATTTGCCAGGCGCTCAGTGGAATTTCGCTGGGCCAGAAGACAATGCACCAAAAGGACGTTTGCCCAAAAACATGGGTTTCAGCGCCCTGTCCGTGTGAGCTACTTATGCAGTTTCTGCCCACGGCCACTGGGCTTTATTGAAAACTCATTTTACCTTCGGGTCCCGACATGGCCCATTGGCCCCATCCCCACTTCGCTCTGAAAAGCAGTTAGATGGAAGCGCCAGCCGTAAAACCGCTCAGCAAATGAAATTTTACGCAATGGCCACAGAGCTAGAACATTCTGTGGGCCAGCTTTTATTTTCAATTTAGCATTTGGACGCTGGTGCAATTTCATTACCATCGAATGGAAAAGCTGCACGTTGTGGATCCAGGGAAAGCTTGTGAAAGCAAAGGAATGAAGAGGAGGGCAAAAATGTGTGAAAATAGATAAAATTATTTTAATATACCTAGCCCTGCAACTTAACCGAATCGGTGGGAAAAATGAGTACCTTATCGCCTTGCAACTTGAAAACTATTTCGTGTTCTATTGCAAGTGGTGCCCCACCTAAATCAAACTTTTCCTGCGGCCTGCGATTGCCAGTTTAGCTCGTCCAAAGTGCTCCCAACCACGGTGCACTGCAAATCCGAATGCAATTGCCATTAGAGGCAACCGCAGCACGCCCACAGCCACGCCCCGCTTAATGATGCTTGATTTAATTAATGCCGCATTACCTACGTGGCAGGACGCAGTCCCCGACTTGGGGCACTGGGACTCCGATAGGGATTGGGTGGGGATTCGACTGGGGACGGGGAATCGCACGGCCGGATGGCAATTGGAAATTGTGCGCGTCTGTTGGGGAAGCAGCGGCGACAGGATGAACCACATTGCCATTTGCTGATGATGATAATTTATTGCCCCGAAGGGCTTACGGGGAAGCCCAGCCCACTCCTTGGCTCCTTGGAGGAAACGATTTCCGCTCCGGCCTGCCTCGGGCGTGGGCAAATATTTGCCATGGCTTTCTATTTCCCCAGCCAGGCCAAACAAATTGTTTACAATATTTATTGTTTGTTCGATGTTCTGCGGCCGTTGACAATGATGAAATGCAGACTGGGCGAAGGACCTTCCGCCCGGCCGGGAAATCAGCGCATGTGACTTGACCAATGGAGGAAGGGACCCGAAAGTGAATGTCTGGGTCACGACAATGGCGTCAACGCTCATTTCCGCCGACATATTTTCATTTCCTTTCGACTTTCTGCTCCGCCTTCGCTGGCTGTTTGTCCAAGGATTACCAGCAGCTGGCTCGTCCTGCTGCTCGTCCTGCCGCTCGTCCTTCGCCGCCGCCGAGTGAATTGTAATTCATTAAACTTTATTGTCCAGCGCTTCTCACTGACCTCGCCCTGAGTTCGACTCCAGTTTAATTTGTTTTTGCGGCAGGAAAACCTCATTTATTGCCCATGTACAGGAAACTTTTGGGCCGAGCTCGCAAAAATACAAAAACCAAAACCCGAGCGCACACAAAATCATAATTAAAATTTTCAATAAAATCTCCGTAAGCAGGGCGAAAAACAAACAGAACCGCTTTGCTGGCTGCTAATTATAAATTATAATTTTCCAGATCCTTTGCTGCCAAAATTAATCCTAATGAAATTATTCAAACAAAACTTTTCTGCAATCGCTGGGGCGGCTTTTTCCCGCCCGCCGGCAATTAATTTCGCCCAACAGCCATTGACAAAGTGAAAGCACGTTTCGATAATGAAGGCCGCCAGCGGCCACGCCCCTTCACGCCCCCACTAATTGTGCCAACAACTTGATTCCAGCTGAGCAACTTCCACACTCGACGGTGGCCCTCAAAAGTAGCCTGCACCACATAAAAGTGCCGAAACGAAACGACGAATGGACGAAAGGACTAAAGCCCCCTTCTGGCTGCCCCAAAATGTATGCTATCTAATTGTTGAGGCTTCGAGCAACTGCCTCAGATTTGAGCGGACTGCTCTGCCGAGAAGGAAGTCAGACACGAACGCTCCTCCACTGCAGTTTCATAAATTTGAATTTCAAATTCAGTGCTCACATGCCGGAGGAGGTCGAAGTGCCGCAGATTCGCAGACTCGCCTCCCAGATACCTTAAATTAAATTTGGGGAGCGCCTTAAATCTTGGGGCAGCCAACTTATCACGAATCAACATATACGTGCCGACAGGCTGACAGGTGAAAAGCTAGCTCCAGCCTGTTGCTGACACCAAATGGGGAGGATAGTGGGGGAGTAGAGTTTTTAATCATGCTCAGCAGAGATTAATTTTTTGTGAGATTAGTCTTTGTGAGGTAATGATTTGAGGAGCCTATTTAATAACTACTTGTATGTATATGGAATAAGCTGCTCGGTGTCCTCTGATACACTCATACAAGTATATTTAAGCACAAAGTTCTGTTTTAGTTAGAAAGTTGTGACCGCATGCAAATTGATTTGTGTCGTGTGTTCTGGCTACAATTTTCACCCACTTTCACCTCGTGCGTGGGCGTATTCATGGGTATTTACTTGATAAAGGTCTTGCATGGCTGGCACTTTGGGTTTACATTGTAAACTCGGAGCGGAGGCAATACAAAACTATTAACAAGACATAGTCGGGGATAAATTAATTAAAATGTCAGCCTGGATATGCCATTTCGTGTGTGCGGAACTTGACAAAAGTTGTAGCTTCCTGGGCGTGGGTGGCATTTCCAAGGAAATGCTAAGCCTGGCAGGCATCATTTAGGCAGAAAGCCACAAAAAGCCAGCCGCAGAGCAGGATATATGAATTTTTGATGAGCACAGCGCGTGCATAAAAATTAAAATAAATTTTGTGTGATTTTTATGCGAGAGTGAGCAGGCATATGCACACTCCCACTCAGCCACAGAGTAAACAATACGCCACGCCTATATTTACCTTTCAACTTTCTATTTGCACAGGTGACGAGCCGGAAGACGGGGATCCCCCCAATCAGGAGTCCGCACACTGCAGCTAATTAAAGTTTAACAACAGCCAGGTTGAAGCCCATTAATTGCAACTGACACCTTCCACAGTGGCTGCCAATTGTATGCGGACACACCGCCGCTGGTGTTTGCGTTCCATTTATTTTCTTATTTTGATTTCAATTAAGTTCGATGCAAATAGAGCAGACTGGTTTAAATACGCCATATATCCTGCATAAATACGCAGTACTCGTATATGCCCGTGTGTAGTGGCCATTGTGCAACCTAAATAGTTGGCGAGCGTGACGAACTGGTCAACAAATCGCAAATAAATTAATTGCGAAATGCAATTTCCATTCAATTTCAAGGCAGCGGAAACTCAATTGAAAAGCAGAGTGTTCCGACGGCGCTTATCAGTGAACATAAGCCACATATGCAAAAACAATGAAAAACCATAACGAATTGTGCCAATATCATATTCATATATGAATGTTATCGCTCTGCAATGAGTGCAAACCAAAACGAATTCATTGGGATTATTCAGCTCGTAATCTGACAACTCAACTACTTGAAAATTCAATGAAATATTTATCCCTAATCTGTGTAAAGGTCTATGTTGCTAGCGCTTAAGTATGTAAGAATTTTAGTGTGATGCTTGTGTTCGTTCACTGATTTCAAATCAAGGAGAAGCATTGGAAATATACTTGTGTTGGAAAAGAACCCCAGTGGCTGCGAGTTGTTTGCTTGGACAAGGGTCAAGGGTCAAGGGTCAAGGGTCGATGGTCGTTCTTTGGCCAGAATTCGAGGATGCACAAAGCCAACGACCAGGAGATTAGCCTCAATTAAGCGTTAACAAGTGACTGACGGACAGAATCCGGAGGAGATAACGGCCGGCACACACATAAATGCAATCTGGCCGAGATAACTGGGCCTGCTCACTCCGGGAGTTGGCCATTTGGAGAGCGGCTGCCAGTTGGCCCAGTTCGCTCATTAGTCGTGAAGGGATCCCCTGCGGCCGGAGACAAAGGTGGTGAAAAGTCCATCAACTGCTTAAAATGTAATCAGAGTTCGGGCCACTCGCCATATCTTACATATCTTATCGCTTTGACATGTGCCCGGGGCTTTAGAGTGAATCACAGATACCGTATTTGGCCAAAACAACTCATTCGGCGGGTCATCTGGCGGGTCATTTAACCGAAATGGATAATCTGGGGCTCGTGCTCTTGGTCCTGTGCGCCTTCAGCTTCCTGCTCTTCCTCCTGCGCGTGAGTGTTCCATCTAGAGCAGTCTGTCTATGCCACTGTACCCTGTGTCGTCTTCCAGGTGCTTCTGATTGCCTGTCGCCCGTACGCGAAGTCGCTGCGCCCGAAGGAGGAGCAAGGTGAGTTCTTCAGGCATTTGAGGAGGGCAAACATAAATATGGGCCGTGGTTGGGCCACTGAACTCGTTCGGAGAGTTCTCGAGAAGAGTGAGGGCGAGAGTTGCCGGCCGCCATAAATCAAGGGCGACATTAATATATTTTTATGCGTGTGTTCGAACATATATCTATTTGCGCACATTTATCATATCGCCTCATTAGATAAATTGCGAATGCGAACAAAAAACAAAGCCCTGGCTCGACACTGGTATTGTCGCCTTATCAGCTAATGATTACAAAGCAAATATGTGCGTTCTTCGTTGTCAGCTTCGAGTCTGACCCATGCCCGGATGTCCTATCAATTCGGTGGCCAGTAGCTCAGGTTAGTCGGGTCTGTCTGTTCGTCGGAGAACGGCTGTCTCGAGACATTTCTTAGTTCCGATCAGGACCAAAAATCGCAGCAATCAGCGCGCAATTAACCCCCGATTTCAACATGGCTCCTGCCATAAGCACGACGACCAGCACCCCCATTAGCTCCACCGCGTCGGTGGTAAAGGGTACACTTAACACCACTGAAAGTGCGAGTTCGGTGTGGCAGTACGAGAACACCACACCCGTCACAATTTGGATCAACGACGGCGGCTACGATGGTCCGTTCATGTTCTTTTATCCCAGCTATGTCATTTACATTGTGCTGGTCTTCCTGTTTGTCATCGCCTTTCCTCTGGCCATGATTATGGTAAGCCAATTCGAAATGGGACGCCTCCTGCTCCTGCTAATGCTTCAATCTCTCCCCGAAGAGCGCCAAACGCAAGCGAGAGGCCAATGCGCGGAATCTCGCACAGCAGAGACAACGAGGTAATTTCCCATTCCTGTCTCGTCAAGAGTTTTGTACTTTTATTTGGGGGACCACATTTAGCCTATAAAACCTGCCGGAGTGCTTCGAGGAAACCGAAATTAATCAGTCCCAGGTAGAGGTAGTAGCAGTTGAGCTTGAAAAGCTCCCATCGCTCGCGCACCCGCAGCCACAGGATGCGCGAGGATCCGGAGCCAGACTGTTTGGCTCGCTGTTCAGCGTAGGAGGATTGAACACAGCACTTGGACATAACCCAGAAGGCGGTCATCCGGTTCTGCGTGCGCAGCGTGGACTCAATTCCGCGGATCAAGTCATTTGTCTTCAGAATGAGCAGCATCTGACGGTCCACCTGCTCCAGCACGTCGGAAATGTGCGGCAGCACCAGTGACGTGTTGCTTTGCAGCGTGTTCTTCTGCAGAATCAAAGCATGGACTATGAGTACCTGCAGAGAAGAATTTCCTGGTCGAACTCACCTCTTCTTTGGAATATTTGACCTTGGTCAGGCCCTGCATCACCGTCTCCCAAGGTCGTCCCGTCACCATGCATGCGAAAAGGCCGTACAGATCGCCCTGGATCAAATAAGTGGAAAAGTTAGATGGGTTAGGTTCAAGTGCAACTCCCAAGTCTCGTCAATACCTTAATTCCCAGCTGCTCACTGTGGTGTCGCATCGCTTTGCGGTCCACGTTCAGGATGCTCAGCCAGAGATTGGAATAGTCGTACCGGAACTTGTCTGTCAGATTTGCGTAAAGCCCGTGATCCAGCAGAACTATCTCTAGACTGTCCTTCGGCGTGCGCCTTACCAAGATGTTTCCTGGGTGTGGATCGCTGTGCACGAAACCGGTGCGGAAGATCATCTCGGAGTACAGCTGTCCAATGCGATTGGCCACCGCAAAGGAGTCAATTTTGTTTCGCCGTATGTAGTCCAAGTCCGTGACATGTCCGCCCTCCAGGTACTCCATGACTAGGACTCGAGAAGAGCTGTACTTCCAGTATATCTTGGGCACACGAAGCCAGGAGTACTTCTCGAACTGCTTGGCTACCTTCTCGGCGTTGCGTCCCTCGTTGAGGAAATCGAGTTCGACCGGCAAGTTCTTTTTGGACTCCTCAACCAGCCAGTGGATCTTGAAGTCGGGAAATATCCGCGCCAGCACATTAACGGCTATTTCCATGGTCTTCATGTCCACGCGGGAGTTACCCTTAACGTAGGGATGTTGCACCTTCACGGCCACCAGCTCGCCGGTCTTCAGTCGCGCCTTATGCACCTGGGCAAGGGAAGCAGTTCCCAAGGGCTCCCTCTCGAAGCTGTCGAAGATGTCTTCGGGATTGCATCGCAGATCCTGCCGGATAACCTTATATAGGTCCTCAATGGGGTTTTGCGGCGCATCGGAGTGAAGAACTTTCATGGTCTGCACAAACTCCTTGGGCAGCAGGTACTCCAGGGCCCCTATGTGCTGGCCCACCTTGATGTAGACACCCTTGTTTATGCAGATCAGCTGAAGCAACTTCTCGGCGGCTATCTTGTGCACCCGGCTCTTTTCCGCCTTGTACTCGGGAGTCTCCTTATCCCATTCCCTGTAGTAAAGTTCCCGCTTGTAGGTGAGTGCTACGTCCACGACGGCGGCGGCGGATCGCGACAGCCGGACGATGCCCAGTGAGTTGGGATCGTAGTCGTTGGTGTGCAGGCTCCAGCCGGCGGAGGCCAGTCCGGCGCCGACTACTCCGTAGCCCAGAACGCGTCGCAACAGCATTCCTCCGGCTGAAAAATGAAGAGCATTTAGTCTGGTGTGCTAAATCAACAGGTGTCAGCGCCGATTAACCTCTGGGCTTTCACCTCTGGTTAAGCGCTTCGTTTTACGCGGAACTGAGGCACTTTGAACTTTTCACTTCGCCAACTGATTTTCGGCGAATACAGCCCTCTAAACCTGTTGCATCTCCGCAAGCATTTTCATTCACTATTCCCCATTTGCATTTTCCAGCGCTCACATGTAGCTAAACTTTCACCTCAGTAATTTGGTCTGCGCCATTATGTAAACACACCTGACTGAAGGGGAGCCGCGGCTCGCTCGGAATGACGGCCAATAGTTTCACTTACTCGATATGGTGCACTACAGGTAGCGCCGGAGTTCAACGGCGCGTAGGTGTTGAAATTCCAAAGTCTGCGATTAAATTGATGCGCTTCAACTTCTGTGGCCACAGTTGGCGCAATCAGCTGTTGGCCTGACGTCAGAGCAGCTGACCCACTAGCAGAGCCCAAGGGCGTAGTTGATTTTGTACAAGGGGATTAATGCTCTTACAATATTATTACGGTTTTTAAATCAAAACTGATAAACACTATATTAAATGTTGCTTAAAACATAGAACGACTCAGACAATAGGTTAAAAGTTATTGGTGAGGCTCCCCTAGGAAAGGCTATTGTTACTTTTTTCCCTTAGCAGAAAACGGTTAACACTTAGCGGTTAACAGAACTGGGCGGTAAATGTTACGTGATATGAAAGTTATTTTTTTTTTACATAATTCGGTCGACCTAACAAAATTAGAGGTTTAATATTATATTGTGCACATTTGATTTCACAAATATCGTATGGCTTTAGAATAAGCACACTGCCGCGCTTAAAAAGTATACCAAGTTTAACGGCATCGGTTAACAGAACCAAACGGTTAAAAAATGTTAAAAAAATCAACTTGTCAACTTGCGTTTGCGTTTTTTAAGAGCTCTTGAGGTTTTCTTGTCCACTAGCTTTATTATTCCCTTTTCCGCAGCCCGTCGCCAAATGGAGATCAATGTGACGAACAATTGCAACGGCGGCTCCGGAGGAGCCGGAAACGTGTGCTCAAACAGACAGGACGAAGTCAGTGTGCTACCCAAGACCTTGGACTTGCCGCCCAGCTACGACGAGGCTGCTTTTAGCGAGCGAAAGCAGGACAGCACACTGACTATAGCCACCAACTTGGAAGCGAGCAATCCCAATTTGGCGGCTGGAACTAACGAACCGCCGCCGGTTTACGAGGCGAATGTGGCCACAACGACCACGTCCACCACCACCACCGTATTCTTGGTCAACGGCCAACCACCAGTGGTGTAACTCAGCATTGGACTTCTGAGAAATTTATTATTTTTTATACATCCTACAAGACACTGTACAGTGTTGCCAATGTAAATAAACTTTGCTTTTGGAGAACTGCTTAATTTTGCAGGATTTTTACAATGAAAACACTTACATATGAAAACACTTTTCAGGTCGGAAACTATGCTATGCTTTTAGAGAACTTCATAATTTTGCAGGATCCTTACAATATTAATCATATGAAAACGTAATATTTCTTATGTTTTGACCAACTTAACGATACTTGAAAAATTATAATATTAGGAAAAAATAATATTAGGAAAAGAACGTTGAATGATCAGCAACTAAAGCTTCTAACAAAAAAATAACACGAAACTAAACAATAATTTGAAAATAAATATAGGGCAAGGCACATTAGCACCTCAAAATTTCGTCGAGCGTAGGTCCCCAGCGGCCGTAAGGATCCTTGGGTAAAATGAATATGTTGTCGCACCAGGAGTAACCAAGGACTCGATTCTCAACGATCTTTTTAAAGGCAGGATTTTCATTAATCAGGTCTCTGTAGTTGTCGTTGGAAACCACGGCAGCATTCTTTTCGTATGCCAGCTGCAAAATGAAACTGAAAAAGGAATTATACATTTTCATTCTAAATACAAAATTTCTTTCTAAGGAGCTCACCGATCATCGTAGCTAGACGACATTTGACCGGGAATGTTTTTGCACGGCGTAAACACAATCTTGCCTTCCTTGTGCAGCTTATCGAGAAGCTCGGGATTTGAAGACTTGAAGTTGTTTTTCCGAAACATTGGAATCACAGCCTTAACTTCGTGACCCATTTTCTCGAAATACTGCAAGCAATACTTTATTCCCTCTGATGAAAAGACGTTTGAGTTGCCATGGCTGTTGAGTATGGATGAAGTAAATAGTTAAGCCTGTCTGGAGTTTGCTTAAAGCAGAAAACTTACGCAAAGGCGACATTGCTACCATCGATGATAATAAACCTCTTATTCGTTTTCGGCTTATTAAAGGTCTCTCCTGCCTCCTCCGTGGGATTAAATGTGTTGCTGTTATAGTCTCCAAGTCTCTTCTTTTCGGCAGTGGTGAACAGGCTGTCATTCATTCGCGCAGTCTTTTTTCTTGGCGTTTCCGAAAGTCTAGCACTTCTTCGCTTCTTTTCTGTTCGCAACGGCGGCGAGGACGACGGGATCGGGATGAAAAAATCTCCGGTAGAGTCCTCAATAAATATAACTGAGTCGTTGTTTTCAACAATTGGACATTGGACAGCTTCGGAGGATTCATCCAAGTTGATGATGGAGTCTGAAAAATCCGCTTTTGCGATAGTAGAGTACAAAACTGCGTTTTGCGTTTTCGGCTTTATACGCAAAGAAGCCTCGCCATTACAATCTATAACTATTTTTTTTGGTAGCTGGTCACTTGTGCTGGGCCCATTATCCTCGTCATCTAGAATGCTAATGGATTCGTTTGGAGTTTCCAGCAACACGCAGTCGTCATCGTCGCTGCTCTCCAACTCTTCGACGATTTGGCCTTCTTCAATACTGTCGTCCTGATCGGTAGAAATTCCAGTGACCAGAATTTTATATTGTTGAAAAACAAATTCTACAAAGCTTTACCTTCTGGTTATAGAACTTGGGCTTGGGAAGAACGACGTTCTTTGTTGGCGATTGCCTTCTGCGGAAGTCCAACCTACGCTTGATATGAGGATTTTTCTGCGCTGCATACTTCTTTTTAATAGAGTTCAAGAGCTTGGATATCATATCTCGGGTGAGTTTATTGTTCTGAATTGCATTGCGCTTCAGTCTTTTCGGAGCGTTCTGTCGAATATCGCATGTCTTAATAAAAATATATATATTTCGATTTGTTACCTTTGGCTTAGGGTCTCGAATCTTCCTGAAGCCATTGGGCTTAACCACTGGTTTGGGCATATAGGTGTTTGAACTGGAGGCCCCTGTTTCTGGTACTGCGACCTATTAGGAAAAAGGGGATATAATTAGTTTTAAGCGAGTTGTGACTTGATCATATTTTTGGAAAAGTTTTTCTGCTGTTACTTTTCCTACTTACTGCGAAGTCAAATTAAGTGGTTCTATAAGTGCTTTAAGTAATACTGCATTTTTGGTACATCATTTACATCAAATTTATTGTGAGTTGGAGTCTACAGGGCTTACGTATATATCTAGGCGTACACACTAACTAGGAAAATGATTTTGATTACACTTCACTTAGGAGTTAAATTAAGTAGATTTTCGGCAGAGGAGGTTGCTCAACCAATACGAGTGCCTTGCAGTCAAACGAGGTAAAACGGCCAGTAAGTACACAACTCAATAGCAGTAAACAAAGCAGCCCCGTCGCATCCCTATCCTCCAAACTCCTGTTTACTGCTTCTTTAGCTCACTGATCTCGTTGCGTATGTTGGTGCGGGCTAGCTCTTCGTACTTATCATGGTAGTCTCCAGTGGCGTAGATGGAGGGAATCATCAGCAGGGTCTCCAGCACCTTCATGCGCATGGCCTTGTAGGTGGCATCGTCGAGATTGGCGTACTCCGAGCGAAGGAGAGTTGTATAGTGCTTGTACTCCTCCGGCGAAGCACTTTAGTAGTGGGATATAGGTATGAGATACACGGACGATGATTGTACGGATACTCACGCTAGGACCACCAGGTCTACATCCTGCAGCAAATTGGCCTCGTCGTCATGGCACCAGGTCAGCTGGTTCTCCGGGGTCTTGCGCCCTAGCAAATTGCATACCAGACTTTTTGCATGGTCCTGTTCAAGGTAAAACACTCCGAATATAGAGGTTCAGTTATCCCGCACGCTTACTCACATCCTCGATGACGGCATCGTTGCAAAACTCCTCAAAGACCTCGCAGTTCTTCTCGGCACAGCTGCGGTTACCATCGAAGTGGTAGTACTGGAAGAATGCGGCCAGCACAATGTTGGGATTGGCCACGCCCGCCAAGTGCGGCTCCTTGCGCCGCATCATCTCCTCCCAATTGTGGTAGGCGCGAGCGGGATCCTCGGAGCTCAGATGCTGCTGGATGCGGGCGAACCACTCGTTGGCCACCTGCTCGGGCACATCGTGGTGCTCGCACACCTTCTTCCAGATTTTCTCCATACTTGGTGGGTTGTTGGTGATACTTTGGCCTCTTGGATTAGGAGTTGCTGATTTCGGCAGCGATTATTCAGTTGGCTGGAGCTGGTCTTTCTGGAACTTTTCACTATTCACTGGGAATGTGGGGTGCAGGGCGCTTGCGTTTGCGCACTGATCAAAGAAGCCCCACCACCACATGGTTACCACTCGCGGGAAAACAAAAACTGCGCGACCCGCAGACGCGAGCTCAAAATTGTGGCCAGAACGGATTTTTTATATAAAACAGGGAACTTACCGTGTTTTCAGGACCGCCGCCTTTTTTTAAATCCTCGGCCGCCAGCTTCAGCAGGATATTTGAAGCCATTTTGGAGGCCGATCCGCGCTTGTGCCAATGTTGCTTTTTGGGATTCCTTTTCTTCTTGGATTTGCCCATTTGGGGCAAACGCGTCTGAATAAAGCGTAATATTGTTAAAACTCCGATCTTTATCTTCTCAAGAAGTCCAATGGAAACAGCTGATATTGCAATGTGCGTTATGTTTTGGTATTTTTCCAAGCATTAGGCCCATTCCACAGCGTGGTCTAATTGCGATCTAAAAGGCGTTAGGGTGTAACTATACTGTAGAGTAACTATATTTAATATTGATCTGACAACCTATTTTATGCACATATAATTTAAGATGCTTTAAGTATTTTGCAATATTAGGATCAGATTAGGATCACAATAAATGTTTTATCAATTATTTGTTAATGATCGATACTATCGGCTCACTAAAACTTCCCACACGCCCCTGGCAACCCTGCCCAGCTTTGGAAAACAAATTTTTGCAAAATCGTAAACAAAAACCTTTTGTGGAAATGAAGCAGGATTAGGACTGAGCCAGTACACCCGGTTGCGTCATGACTGTCTGCGTGCTCTGCCTGGCCAGCTCCAATGCCGGCTACGGCCTAGAGTCCGCTGAGGGCGTCCGTCTGAGCATTAGGGCGACCATCAACAAGCACTTTTCGTTTTCCGAGGTAAGCTCTGCGCCATAATCGAAAGTCTTGGATGCACCAGAGCAAACTCTTCGCAATTCACAGGTTCTTACGGCGGGCAATGATGCGGAGGTCTGTCGGGAGTGCTGGGACTGCGTTAGTAGCTTCGAGGAGTTCCACAAGCGAGTCTCCTGTCTGCATCAGCAGCAGAGCAGCGATTCCAAAAGCGAACCCATCGAATTTTGCGGTCAGACGGAGGAGGCCATTAATCCGCTTTATTCTGTGGAGCTGGACGCATTGGCGGAGGGCTTCTTTGCGCCCAGTGAGGTCAAAGTGGAGGCAAACGAACTGGAACCCCTGCCCAAGGTAGAACTTTGGGAAGACCCAGTTAAAACGGAAATAAGAACAGCTCCGAAACGGTTGGGTGTCCCAAGCGAGGGCTCACCACATTCGAAGCGGCGCATTAAAAACGAACTGCCAGTGGACAGTGATTCGGATGCACCACTGGCGGATTTTTTAAACTCGGATACAAAGAGCAGTTCGATAAGTTCCGCAAAGAACAGCGAGACGAGTAAGGGTCGCCAGCTACGAAGGAGTTCAAGAAGAGGACGGCCGCCCAAAGCTAAGCCGGAATCCCCTACGTCCCCAAAGAAGGAACTGGACTCCGATGATGAGTTTGTGGCAGTCGACGCTTTCTTGGGCACGGAGGACAGCGCCAGTTCCTCCAGTGAGAGCAGTGAGGAGGATTCCGACCGCAGCTTGCCGGACATAGAGCCGGAGGAACGCTACGCCGAGATTCCCAAGCGGGTGGTAGTTAAGCCCAAGAAGTACCAAAAACGGGAAAAGCCCCTGGTTCCACCCGTTCGCCTGAGCCGCGAGGAGATTGAGCGGAGGAAGCTCCAGCAAAACGAGTACGATGAGATTATCCTGCAGTTTTTCAAAAAGTTTCCGTGCGCCGTCTGCAATCTGCTGGTGCAGAACTTTGCGGACATGCGACGCCATCAACGCGTTTCCCACAACATCGACTCTGGCTTCATCGAATGCTGCGGGAGAAAGTTTCACCTACGCAAGGCTTTGGCGGAGCACGTGTTGGTCCACAAGAACCCAGAACACTTTATGTGCTCCCAGTGCGGGCGCGTGTTTCAGGACTCCCGCTCCCTGGAGGTTCACGAGCATACCCACACAAACCCGGAGGTCAAGGCGGAGGCGAAGGAGAAGCGGGTCTATCAGTGCGAGAAGTGTCCCAAGAGCTTCACCACCAAGGCGGCCATAGAGTATCACGACGTTTCCAAGCATGTCCCCAAATCCGAGTTTAAATACTCCTGTCCAGAGTGCAACAAGAAGTAATTGTCTATATGTGGTGCATATGAACCCCCCCAGCTAATTTCTTATGCTTTCAGGATTCCCACGGAACGCAAACTGAAAGAGCACTTGCGTTACATGCACGACCCGGAATCGGCCATCATCTGCGATAAGTGTGGCAAGACTCTACGTTCACAAACGAATCTCAAAAAGCATCACGAGCTGGAACATTCCGAGGAACCGCGACCCAAGCCCGATCCCGTGCAGTGCGAGATTTGCGGCACTTGGCTGCGCCATCTGTCCGGACTTAAGCAGCACATGAACACGGTGCACGAGCCGCCGGGCGGCGAGCATCGCTGTCACATCTGCAACAAGACATCCACCAACTCCCGAGCCCTGAAGCGCCACATCTACCACAACCACCTCTGTGAGCGGAAGTTCAAGTGCGGAATGTGCGAAAAGGCATTTAAGCGTCCACAGGATCTGAGGGTGAGTGTTGAGCTCCTTCCAGAGAACTCCGAGTTCACGAATACCAATTTACAGGAGCACACATCAACCCACACCGGCGAGGTGCTGTACACCTGTCCCAACTGCCCCATGACGTTCTTTTCTAACGCCAACATGTACAAGCACCGCCAGCGGCTCCACCGAGCAGAGTGGGAGGCGGATCGGAAGAAGCCGCTGCCACCGAACATCATGAAGATTTCGCAGGGTGCCACCACTGCGATGAAGAAGCGCCAGGCCAGCGGCGCTCTGTTCCCACAGTCGGAACAGAAGCAATAGCATTTGTCCATTTACGACATCCATAGATAGTAGATAAATCGTCAACCATTATTATTAACTCGCACTTAACACAGATAAGTTAAGCCATAAATAAGTAGACGTGGACATATTTACATCGATTTATGGGGGCTGAATCTTATCTAACTATCTAGCTATCATCCTGCGGTATCCGAATTTCCGCGCACATCCCCTCCTCCCGGTGAATGCTCGCCCAGTGCTGCGAGAGCTCCCGACTGATAGCCTTTCGAAACACCATGCACGATATGTGTGGCAGCTTCTCGAAGCGCACTCGCAGCAGTCCAATCCTGGCCAGGGAGTATCGCCAGTTTTTCATGAGGTGGGCGTTCTTGCCAACGTGCTGGGAGTCCGGTGTGATGAGCACGAGGATGCCCTCGGGCAACAGCAGATCGTAGGCCTGGAGGCAGCACTGCAGCCTCTGCTCGGCGCTTGGCATGTACTCCAGTAGCAAACTGAAAATGACGCACTCGTAGTGGCTTGCTGGTAGCCTTCTTACGCTGCCCTCCTCCAGCTCAGGTTCCCCTATTCCGGGTACCACCTCCACCTTAAGGAAATCCGCCTGCAGCACATCTTCGGCGGCGGGACACAAGTCCAGGGCGGTCACCTCCAAGTGCGGAGCTCTGGAGAAGGGATTGAAGCAGCTGCCCACATCCAGCACGTGCAGCCTGTCCGGCGGCTCCTCCATCAGCCTGCACTGCACCTCGCCCAGTTTTCCCTCCGCTCTGTAGGATTCCAGGAGCCGTTGCTCCCGCTGACGCTTCTGCAAGTATATGCCCTCGGTAAAGAAGTACTTGGTGATGTAGTCGATGGCCCACTTGATGCGGCTGCGTGCCTGCAGTTCCACCTTCCCATCGTTGGTCTCCCATATGGCCGCCAGTTGCTTCATTGCCTTGGCGTACTCCGCCAGTTGCTTGGCGTTCCTGGGACTCGTGTGCTCCTGCCAGGCCGCTGTGGCGCCATGCTCCTTAGTCAGCTGGCGCAGGCTTTCGTGGCAGCTCTTCACGATGCTGGCCAGGCGCTGGTGCTCCTCTGTGGCCATTTCGCTACCGTTTCTTTGGTCTGACTGGATTGGTGGGTCGCGTGCAATAGGGATGAGAGAATCTGCACGTACCGACAATCGGTATCGTTATCGAAGCAGTTTACCGTTGAGAACCAATATTGAAAAGTAATAAGTTTAAGCTGTCAAGATACAATTTCTGTTAAGTATGTTAATTATTTGGTTTTATTATTGCACTTTCCAATTTCTTGACGTTTCACAATTTACGTATCTGGTAAGATAAAAATGCGTTCCTGGACGTCCTCTTAACTAGCTGGTCTTCCCGCCGTCTGGTTTTCTCATAATCCTAGGATTGGGGGAGTCATCAAACCAAGACATTACATTGGCGCAAAGCGCAAGGACCTCCATCTGGGGATTTGGGGGAAACACGCGACCAAAGCACTCCAGCAGCATGGGCTGTCGGCGGACCACCTCGCAGTATTCGTCCGCCCCAATGTTGGTGTCCTTGTCCAGGTCGAATTTGAGGAACAGCATCTCCTTCATGTCCTGAAGGAATGGGAACTGAATCAGTGCAAATGCAGAGGATGGTGCCTCACCAATCGCAGCTCAGCGGAGTCGTCTTCATCCTCGCTCGCGAAGAACTTGCTGACATAAAACCCCACTTGCTCGCCATTCAACTGCTTGGAATCATTCTTATCGTAGACCTGCAACGTAAGCCAAAGGTCTAACCTACTTTTGCATGAAGACTATGAAATGCCCACCGAGAATGCGAATTCCATTTTCAGCTGAAGGTCTTTGGTGAAGTATAGGGTGAGAAGCCTCACAAAGGACTCCAAATGAATATGCTTATCGGGAAAGAAATCAGGAGCCCTGGAGCCCGGGGTATGGGCTATTCTATACACAATGGTCGCAATGAGATCCCGATCCACGATCTCAAACAGGAGCTCCATCAGCGCAGTGAGTTGCTGAATGGTCATGTACCTAGCCCTCGGTCCATTGACCAGGACAAACTTGTGGTAAAGCATCACGATGCTGACCAGCTCATTATGCGAGAAGAGCGAGTCCTTGGCCAGGCGAGCAATGTCCTTCATATACACGTACTTGAAGCGGGCATTCTCCAGGGTATCCAAGGAACCGTCCAGGTCCTTCATTTCGACTTGCTGCGCGTTCCAAAAGTTGATACTGAAAATAAATTGACAGAACCCTTGATTTTAAACATCGAACACTGGCAGACTTGCACACTTCGATTCATGTTTGTGAGGACCAGACCACTGAAAGGCTCGTCCATCTGTTTATACACTATGTATTGTATTGTATTTCATTATCTAATTATCTCTCGCCCGATATACGGTTTTAATTAAGCTGAAGCAAGTGACAGGATATTACAGCGCTATACAACACGACGTACAGTAACTTATGATTACACGAATTATAAAAGATTCTCGTAATGTATGAACAGCATACATTGATCTACAACTACGGCATGGGTGCTCCCCATGTATAAATAGTAGTTGTGTAATAAACTTAAGACTAACAAAATGAATGTATCAAAATAATACAGTGGCCGTAGAGAATACTGACTGATGAGTAGATTGCGTTCTGCAAGGGGAACTTATTCGGAGTCTGTGCATGAGTATTTTCGAGTTTGTTTTCGACGACACAACCGCGACTGGCGCTTTGAATTGATCTCTGCGCCCGGAGTACTTAACAGATACGGATACAATTATGTAATACTAATTTCTTGAAAATGCAATGCCTGTGAGTTCGTCTGGTGCGAATCGCACAATAAACAACAGTCCATTCGTCCGAGTGGCAACTTGAGTGTGTCGATGAGTATTCGTATGCGCGTCCGATGTTTCCGCTCCCGGCTATTCTGGCTGACCAGAAGCTCGGAAGAGCTACATTTCGCTAAACATATTTCAAGCTAAATTTTAAAGTACTGTTGATGTTTCCTCTAAATGCCTTACACCCTAATTGCTGGCTTTCCTCGTATTGTATATGCATATGGGCCAACAGCCACGCCCCTAGTTGCAGGCGGCGTTGAGCGCCAGCGCCCCCTCCGCACTGGTCGATGGCCCGACCTCGTGGACATTGTTGTAGTCCGCTTTGGCATTGCACTTTGCTGAACTCTGATCCTGTATGCTTCCGTTCAGGCTACCGCTCTTCAGCGAGTAGATCCCCAAGCGCGCCTCGTGCTCCCGCCGTTGCTGCCGCAGCCGGATGTCGTGCTGCTCGCGCATGTGCCGCAGTTTGAGGTCCTGCTCCTGCCGGTAGTAGGCCATCTTGACCTCCTGCTCCATCTGCTCGAAGCGCAGCTTCTGCTCGTGCTCCCGCCGGGCGTAGTCGATCTCGGCCAGGCGGGCCTGCTTGAGCAGCCTGAACAGGTCCTGCTTGTACTTCTGCTCCATCTCCGTGGCGGCGACAAGCTCTAGTGGCTGGCTATTTGCGTCCGCTACTGGGGTGGCGCTCGCAGCTACGTTGGTGGAGGCTTCGTTCTCGTCGGACAGCAGCGACTGGGCCTGGGAGAGCTGGTTAACGAAGAAATACAAGAATAAGTAAGTTTCGATCAACACAGGAAAATTAGATTAGGATTTCTCGTCATAAAACTTCTCGGCTTGTAGGGCTTTTGGTCAAACTCACATTCCTTTGTCGCCGCTTTCGTGGCGGGCCTACGCCCTTTTCGTTCTCCTCCCCCGTTTCGGCGGACGTTTCTGTCTTGGCGCCCGAGGGCGACTGCTTGGCCTTGGTCCGCTTGCGGCGCTGGGCTGGCAGCTGGGCGGGATTTCCCTCCTGCTGGGAGTCCCCATCTCCGCCAGCGGTGGAGGGCGGCGGCGAGGGGATGGCTATTGTGGAGGTCTGCAGCGTGTCCTCGCTGGCGTTCGTGGAGTTGGGCAGAGCGGCCAGCGGCATGTCTTCGTCCTCGTCGATGTCCAGCAGCTCCTTCTTCAGGGCGCCGTTTGTGTTGGCGCTGCGTGTCTGGCTGCGCGAGGTGACCGGATCCTTCTGCATCTCCTCCAGGAACTCGATCATCCGCATGCCTTCCAGGGCCTCTGTCTTCGGGTGCTTCTGCTGGTGCTCCCGCTTGGCGGAGTTCTTCATGCTGCGCCACTGCACCTGGATCTGTTCCAGCAGGCGGTGGCGGAAGTTAAGGGCATTGAACCTGGATGAGGGTTGGAGCGGGAACGGAAGGTCATTAAAAGAGGAGCTCCACTGCCCTATTGCGCAACTTACTGCTTGGTGATCTGCGACCAGGCCAGACGCTTGGCCTTTATGCTTTTGGCGTCCACGCTGCGGTTCTCCACGAAGGCCACCTTGCTCTTGATGACCTCAAGGAGCAGCCCCCTCTCCGCCTCCTCCCAGTTGAGGGAGCGTTTCTTGCGCGTGCCCTTCTTCTTGCCACCTGCGCCTTCCTTCTCGCCAGCATCCTCGGCCGCATCCTCCGCATTCTCCGCCCCCTCGTCCGCGGTGACGCTGCTCGACTTCTGCGGCTTCAGCTCCACCTTCTCGTCCTCGTCGTCGTCCTCCGGCGGAGAGGAGGATCCCTTGGTCAGCAACTCCTCCAGTTTCATTGTTTTTGTTTACACACTGGATTCCCTTTGGCTGGATTCTGATTCGAATGCCCAGGCTTGCAAAAATCTTATTTGATTTCTGTATATACTGGAGCTTAGTGATGGGAGAAGGCATGCATCGGTCCTCGATTATTCGATGTATCGATACTTTAGCGAGTACACCCTCCGCTGTCAGCAGAGACACCAACCTCAGACATGACCAGTATATTTCGGTATATTTCTGGATGAAAATCCCAGCCCTCGCCGCTTTGGTCATACTGTCGGTATCGAAGGAAGTAAGTAGCAGGCGAAATTTGATGTTTCATAAGAATCTGATTTAAGAATATATTCTAACCAAACCAGCGAGATGGCATTCGGTGACTATCCAGCTGAGTACAACCCCAAGGTGCACGGGCCCTACGACCCCGCTCGCTTCTACGGCAAAGGTGAGCAGATTACGTAATTTTTGCGACAGGCGCAAAGCACATTTGCTATGCCCCAAAATGTCGAGCGTTTTACATAATTTCAACAACCCTCCGATTCGCAGCCGATGTGCCCTTCGGCCAGGTGAAGCTGGGCGAGATCGGCGCCTGGCTGGGACGCCGCAACAAGAGCCCCAACGCGGTGGCCGGAGCCGTGAGCCGTGCATGGTGGCGCTGGCAGCACAAGTACGTGTTCCCCAAGCGCGCCGGGATCGCTCCCTTCTTCCAGCTGACCGTCGCCAGCATGACGTTCTTCTATCTGATTAACTACACCAAGTTGAAGCACCACAGGAACTACAAGTACCACTAAGCGGCGCTGCCCGGTGGTCCTGCATCTACAACAGATTCTACACTTTCCACAAGGCGTGCGAGAGGCGGGCGAACACCATTAAACTATATCTATTTGGCTTTTGTGTTTTGAAAACTGCTTAAGTGAATAAAACGGCTGCGAATATCCATGCTGCCATAGACTCAGACTCGGTCGTTGTCGCACTCGAAGACTGCATTTGGGCCGATGTCCAGCTCGGAACCGGAGCGCTCCCAGGCGAAAGTTGGCCTGGCCGTGTGGATTTCGCAGATAAAGGGCAGCTCCAGGTCGCAGTTCAGGGTTTGCCAGGTTCCCCGCGGCGTCAGGGCCACGCAGCTGGCGTTGCTCAGCTCACCACTGGAAATTCGGATAGATCTAGTTAAGGTACCACTATCTGCCAACTAACTAAACGCTCAGCCCACCCAAGACGAGGATGACCGGCTTCCCAGGCTCTGTACAGAAAGCACTGCAAGCTTTCCCGTTGGGAGTTCCTGAAATCCTGTGGACTCAAGGACGTAGAGCTGTTGTAGGCCAACCCCACATAGGCCAGATAGACATTGCCTTCTGCCTGAGGCGGGGATCTTCTTTTGAACTCCAGTAACCATTGGGCCAGTAAATTTGTTCTGTGCTCGGAGGCAATGTGTGCCAGACTACCAGTGAACTCCGAAGAGTTGGAGCAGGTCAGAGAGGCATTCAAGTAGGCACTGGGCTGAGTATACACCACGAACAGTCCAACCTCCGGTATACAGCTGTAGTTCCTTACGACTGACAAGAACCACAACATTACTTAAGTGAGCAGATGTGCAGATACTCTTCCCAACCTGTCGGCCTTCCATATAGGCTGTAATAATCGAAGCGACTGTCGTTGACCATCCCTGAAAATGTATTGTTCTGCGGACACTTCAGGACATGGCAGTTGAAGAACTCTCCTGGCTGTTCGAAGACACCCAACCGACTTCGAACGTGCTGCTCCTTGTCCCCCTCCTTGCCGAAGGGCCTCTGGTCAAATGAATTACGCCTCCTTTTCGGTCCTCCTGGCGCGTAGTTCAAGGCCAGGCCACGCAGCTCATGAGCCAGATCCGCACATTCCTGCAGGGAGGACGTGTTTTCCAGGGCCAGTGCTTCATCAGCTGCGGCTCGTTGGCACTGGCGAACCACGTGAAACTGCAGGGCGTTCGACTTTCCAGTGGGACAATTCAAGGAGCCCATTGTCAGACCCATCAGATAAGTGAAGACAAGAAACAGGATGCCATTGGGCGCCATTGAAGTAACTCGATTTGTCTACTCTCAAATCGTTACTGCACAGACTGAAAGTGTGCAGCGTGGTATTGTAGTCCCCCACAGGTAGTGTCACTCACTTTTAGGCATATAGGTCAGTTTGAGTTTATTGTTCATTGATTAATATTAACTTAGAGGTACACTAATTGAGCTTCAGTATGAATTGAATCGCGTGGCTTGTACGGCTCCAGAGGAGCATTCCCCCGCCAGTGGACGTTGGAATGCTCGATTGAAGCGGTGCAAATGCTGAGCTTAGTTTGAGAACTGTTCTACGTTCATATATGTTATATATACCATGTATAGTAGGTGGCTGATCCGGACGGCTGATTTATAATAAGGGCTCCTGCCGCTTGAGAATTAAGTACGTAAATCGATGACAAGAAAGTATTCAGGAAATTCTACTAGAAGGGCAGTTGGTCATCCGATGAGTAAATAAATTACGAGTAGTTCATAGTTGGGCATTATGTAGATACGAGTACAAATATCACCTGAGCGTCGGCTGCTGCATTCGTTGTTAGTTCGAAAGATTAGGTTGGGGAATGGGTCGGGGGTCGGGGTCAGGGGTCAGGGATGTAGAAACACGCTTAAGGGGGGCGAGTCCAACACCGACTGTGCGGAACAGAGCTCCTTGGATATCCGTTTCCTCATGTGGGCACCAAGATCTCTGCGACATTAGCGGGCAATTAGGATGGACCCCGGCCATTGCCCGGTAATCTCTGCACATCATTGCAACTAAGGCTAGACTTAATCTAAGAAACAGCCGCTGGACGTCTGACTGCTCCGGCATCCTAAAACTAAGTGGCTCCGCTCCTACCAATCGTTGACTACCGCAGCGCACCTGCGCGACCGAATCTCCTCCTGGGAACCCTCTGATTTTTTAACACTTTGAGTGTTTTGCATTTTGGAAACGTTGAATTTAGAATCTCCTCCTGGGGGACTTATCCTTCTCATCTTCCTCCCGAGCTTAGCTGCTGTGCGAGAAGGCGGTGTTCGTGTACGGTCCGCTGTAGATGGAGCTGCCCGAGTTGGACACCGTCTTGGTGCTCCTACGCGCCATGATGCAGAGCACGGCGGCGACCACGGCCAGCATAAGGATCAGTCCGGCGATGGCAATGGCTATGGCGAAGGTGCGTTGCGACACGCACAGGGCGTCGTCCAGAGTCTATGGTAAAGGGTATTAATCGGATGCGTTCGAGCATTTCCCACCTGCATTGACCACCTACCTTCTCCTTGTAAACCGCATCCTCGTCGCTGTCGTTGGCGTTTTCGTTCTCGTTCACATACAGGCCAGAGAAGACCTCGATGGTGGCGGGCAGGCCGTCCTCCTCCTTGCTGTCCACGGCAGTCTGGCGCTTGGGCCTCTTGCCGACGCACTGGGGAGCCTCCTGGCAGGTGGGATCCTCCAGGGCGCACAGTCGCACGTTGCACTGGTAGTACACTGATGTGGTGTAGGGGAACTTGTGAGCCGGGAAAGTCACGTTGGCCGCCAATCGGTCCAGGGTGTAGTTGAACTGACCCATGATCTCGTTGTCCATGGGGCAGCTGAAGGAACAGACCGTTGTACATACCATATCCATGCGGATTCATATCTACCTTACCCATCTTCGCCCACCAGTCGCTGCTCTCCCCATCCCAGGCCGTCGCGAACTATGCAATCCGTGACATGGAGTCCGTACACTTGCTGCTTATCGATGCTGATCACGATGGTCAGAGGATCGCCGATCTTCACGTCGTCGGCTATCTTGTGCTCGTCGTTGTAGATCTTCATGTGGCAGCCCGGCATAGGGATCTCGTTGTTGGTCACGTCCTCCTCCTGGGGCGGGGCATTCGCATCGTAGACATCCTCCTCGTCCAGGTCGTCGTCCTGCTGCTTGTCCAGCGATCGCCCGTACTCCCGCCGATCGTCGCTGCGGAAGGCCTGCGGCTTCTGGGCGTGCTTCCGCAGGTACTTCTTGGGCTTCATGGCCGCGTCGCGACTCTTGTAGGCACAGCGCACATGGTAGCCACGTCCCAGGTCCGTGATGAGCTTCAGGTGGGGCTGCAGCACGATGGTGTTGAAGAACTCAATGCCACCGTCATCCTGAAAAATAGGCCATTATATATGGGACAAATGTATGGCTTCTTTTACTACAAATGAATGAATGTTGGACAGATTTTGAGTGGCGTTTTATTACAAGCTATTGCCACTAAAATGGGAACTTTTCATCAAATCACCACCTATCTAGAAAAGACCAAGACAACAAACCCGTTCGCCCCTTATACGCCAGTTGAGCTGAGCTGTACACCAACTTCCACAAATACAGAGTTTCGAAAATTGGATACCGAAGCCGAGAAGCCATATCATCCACCTGAACCCAAGTAGAATGGCGACTTCTCATTATGCATTCAGATTCACGCTTGGTTGCAGCCAGAAATCGCCCCTCCGAGTTGAATGTGCGACCCAAGTCAAACAATGCCATATGCCCAGGCTATGGGGGCTGTGGAGCACTTCCTGGAGTCGCCTTCAGAATGGTGCTAGAGCCGATCAGCCAGGTGTGACGTCTAGTCGGGGATCTGCGGGCCTTATCTCCTCGCAAATTAGCCAAGTTTGCATGATGAATCCCAATGGCTTCTTACTTGGGCACTTGGAGAAGCCAAGAATACTGCCATCGTCATGATGCAATTTCCCTCAGGAGATAATTTTAATTGGACATCCACTGGTGGGAAACTCATTGGGGCTTGCTGCTTATTAACACCTGCAGAGGTTCATCATTGAATTCTATTAGGGAGTTACTCAAGATTTGGTTGTCTCAGTCTTTCTGAAAACCATAATAGCCCTTTGTAACTCCAATGAAGCTACCTAAGGGTCCAACGATTACAGTTCTCCATAAGAGTTCCCGCTGAACATATATGAACTATCCATTTCGGGAATTTTCGAACTTTTTCGCTCTGTGCACTGGTAACGGGTTATTCGCCCATCGGTGATTGTGCTAATTCCAGCGGACAGCAGAAACAAATCGAGTACACACTCGATGGCTTTGGCTGTGCCAGCCGAGGGACAACTCCGCGGAAGAACGCGGAAGGTGAGGTAATGACGGAGTACTCCATCCATGCCAAGCACGCCGCCCGCTCGGAAGTTTTGTAATTGGGTCTGCACAGATTTGGGCACGGAAGTTCTTCGCCTAAGTGGGCCCTCCTCGGGCAGTCATTCTTAATGGCCAGCGCCGATGTTTGTTGCTGTAGCAGGCTAAGGCAGTAATCGACGGCTGGGGAAGCCGACTTTCTGTGGACTTAGACGCTGGTCAGTGCGATTTATTGCCCAACACGGTTTCCGCTTAAAACAAGCCGAGAAACGGTTAGGAAAACAAGAAGATGAAACTGGGGAGCAGGGGCTTCCTTTGTTGCCCAAGTCCCCGAGAACCGTTGACAGTTATGTTTGAGGGTCGGTTCTCAGCATCTGGGCATCATCATCTCGAGACAATGGGCCAATAAAAAGCATAATAAAGTGACATTTAAGACTTCAAGCACGGGCATCGGTGGTTCTAACGGTAGAAAACCCTATTATGTCATTATAACACTTCTCCGCGTAAACATGGAGCTCGAATGTGCTCCGGAGCAAGTGTAAATGTATCGGATGGCTGGAAAACAGGTTCGGAACGGATGCGTGGGAGTCAGTCACCGCACTGACCTTCGCTCCAAACACGGCGGTAGCTGCCTTTAAATATCAATATCGGCCATAAACCGCTTACATGTCCGAACACTTTTTGGCCTTTTCATGGTCATCCGACGGCATTGGTGGCCAATGAACGCATTGCCAGCGCACAGAACAAATTGATTTCGACGCGAGATGGCTTCCTAGCGGAGCTGTGAACAATTGCCTTCGATGGCAGTCGATAGCAGGGAGTTTGGAGTTCTGGGATGGCAGCAATTAGTTTTTAATTAAAAATCTCGGACGACCCTGCGAGTGCTGCGAGTGCTGCTCGTGCTGCTCGTGGCTCATTTAATTATGCCTGACATGCGCACAGCCAAGACCCTCGACTTCCAGCGGAGCAAGTACCAGTCGCTCAATGGCAGCAGATGTGTCGGCCTGTCACGCGACTTTTTACACTGCAATGAGCTCATCTCGACGCGGATGACGTAAGGCAGGATGGCTTCCATTAGGGGACTGCACGCTGGATGAGACCCGCTCATCGCGTTTAATGACAAACATTTAAGACATCTACCGACGGGCCTTGGCCGATGTTGATTTTCCAGTGTTTGCGGGGGGTAAATAATGTTTACTGATTCTGGCTTATTGAACACTCGACGTGAATTGCTTGGATCAACAAAAAAGGCGGGGCGGCGAAGGACAAAGCCATAAAAACGAAAGACTTAGGCAACGAACTAAGTGCAAAGAATACTCATGTGCTATATATGGTAGGCAGACCTCAGTTGGAATCATTAAATCTGTATCTTCGATTCCACAAATTGGTAACCACTAAAAGCTTCGGTATGATGAGCATTGCAATGAGTTCTGCCCACTTAGTACTATAAAAACACGTTAAATCCCAGCACTAAACCGATAATTATGAAGTGGCAACCAAAAACAAATGACTTAGGCAACGAACTTAGTCAAGTAGTGCTTACTGATTTATCGTTCTTAAATACTAGTTTTACATACTACAAAACATACTACTAATCAAAAACATACAAAGCTATAATGACTTTAAAGCACACTTAAACGTTTTCCAATATATCTTAGATCATGGGGCAGCTGCCTCCATTGATCTCATCACATCTAGTGGTTCTGAAACGGACGGTACTTTCTTGCCACATCGATTATATGACGGCTGTCGTAACTGCAATTAACATTGGTAATTTCAGAAATTGTGTCAATCCAATCGAGCGAAAGAAAGGAGCAGCAGCCGCACAGACGCCGAGTTACAAAACGCTGGCCCCATAAATGCCGAGAAACTACATTAATATGTATCACAATCGGACCGAGGTAGTGGCTACAAAATGCCAGCCGGTGCGTGAGTTGCAGCCGCATTAGCCCGGTTAAGTGCTAATTGAGATTTCAAAATGATTCCGAGCACAACGCTGCCCGTTGTTTGCCCGAATAGATCGAGTGAATGAGCCAATAAATAAGTCGAGCCATATAAGTATTAGACTAGCCCGATGTGAGACTGAAATTTATATGGCACATCTCGGCCGTCTTTCGGATCATTCGATATGGCTTACAGGGACATGGGAGACAGCTCGTCATGGCTGGTCGGGTGCATGAGATCAGAAATACACTTGATTGGTTCGGAGATCTTGGGAAATTTGCTGGCAAATGTAATTAAAAACTTTTCTGACAGGTTTTTACTACACAGTGCAATGATAATATCTAAAAATACTTTTATACAATCACTCCATCATTCCTGGCTGATTCTAACTAAGCGACAGACATTTATAATAGCCAAGCCCACTGCTTATGGTCCCCATGTTACCCAGCACATCTAACGACTGCTATTTCAGATAGAATCTCCGTGAAGCCATCACAATCGCATCATTAGTTCAGCCGCAAAAGGTGCGTGAGTTGGCCATTTGAGATTCAACCTTTCAATGGACTCATCATCTTGGCTTATGGACTTTACCTTGTAACCAATGAGTCGGGTCTGCCTGCCTTATAAGTGCCTTAGCTTAATGTTTAATTTTTTATTTGCATGCCAAAATGGTGGAACGAGTTGGCCGGTACATGGCGTCACCTATGCACGTACCAACTGTCTGAGTGGGAGTTTTTCTGGGAAGGATGGGGTTCTAGCCTTACCGTTTCCTTCGGCATCGTGTTGCAAGATCTCAGCGGCAGCTTGTACCGCAGGGAGCCCACATGGTCTCTGCGGGGGAGGGATGTGGATTAGAATCCAGATTTGAGTGCCTAGAGTGCGGACTCACCTGTACTCGCTCAAGCAGGTGGAGTTCTTGGACAGGCCTTTCGGGTAGATCATGCCGCTGAACAGCCCCGTCTCGTGGTTCGGAGGAGCGTCTTTGATGGTGATCAGCATCGATCCGGAGAGGCACTTGATCCGCACACTCGGCTCCACCGCCGGCTTAGAGGTGGAGGCCACCTCCGCCTCCGCCGCTGCAATCGCCTCGCTCAGCGAGCTCTGGGCATCCTCTGCAAGGGAAATCGTAAACGGGAAATTATGAAATGCAAACAGAAACACGACAGGCCCACTCCCAAAAAAAGCACAGTTAGGCGACCCAATGGATGCCGCATCCTCGCGAGCTCTTAGCATAAATCATGAGCCAAGCCAAGACAAAGGCCCATGGGAGCACTATTTGGAGACTATACTCCAAGCTGCCTTTAACTGGCATGCGGAAGACTTTAGCAAACAACAATAAACTGCGAAAAATTCAAGGAGCTTTTCAAAATGTTTTTAATAAATGCTAATATATGAGAATGTCTAGGAAGAATCACGAAGATTGCTAACTGATATAGGATAAAAGTTCCCCTTTAGGTGCAAGTACCTGGCAACAAACAATTTTTTTCAGTGCACGTTCATGACATTGAGAAGCCATTGAAGCGGCAACTTCGAAAATCAGCAGAAGCAGCAACTGGGGGCGCAGACATGCCACAGAAGCCCGGGGCCATTAGAAAGACTGCACGCCGCAAGTTCCTTGAACTTTGCAAACCATTCGATGCACTGCCGGGGATTTGGAGGTGCTCTTGGCATTTCCTGCTTGTAGCCAGCCTTCGCAGAGCCGAGAACTCCCCGCTGGCTCCTCTGCGAAGGTACACAATTGTGTTCCAAGACCAAGAGCAAATCCCAGACCAAAGCAAGACCAAAGCAAGACCAAGAGCAAGACCAAGAGCAAGACCAAGACCAAGAGGAGGAGAGACCAGAGATGAGCTGCCCAGGCACGTTCGCCCTGGCAGTTGGCGGTGTGTATTCAGTGGTGTGTATATGGATCGGATGGGCTGGGATGGGATGCGATGCGATGGGATGGGACGGGATGGCTTCGGTCGAGGCGGTTCAACGAACCTTGCAGCATTTCGCATCACTTACTGCGGTTCTGGGCAAAGTAATTGCATGCAACACGGCCGTCGCTAAGCCGGTTTTCTTACTCCACTGGAATGGAATCCACTCGGCGGCTTGGCAGGCACATAAAACATTTAATGGCTTTCTATTATGTATAATTTTACGGTCTCCGCAGGCGAGCAGAGCTGCACTCCTCAAGTAGAACAAACTAGACAAAACAAAGTTGCTCTTCCTCAAGCTGTTCCCTTGGCACTTGGCGAACAAAGAAAATGCAAAGCCCAAATATATGTGTACCGAGTTGCCAGGAAAAACAAATCAACTTCCCAGTTTCAGGTTATGGTTCATAAATTTATAGAATACTTCGTGATTAGGATCTGGTTCAAGCGAATTGTCGATCGCTTTCGCAGAGTCTTGAGCTCCAACAAATTTTAAGTGCAGAGATGGACGAGATTGCGCCGGAAAATAAGTCCGAACAGGAATGTAAAGGTGGAAAGATGGACCAGGCTGAGATCGATGCCCTGGCCGCGGATCTGGCTGCGGCCATATCTAGCTTATATATAACGAAAAAGGCGGAAATTGTTCCTGAGGTGAGTACACTCGATCATCTGCAGCTTCTCTTAAGTAAGAAAGATAATCTTTCCCAGCCGAGTTTTGATTCAGATATCAAGAGGTGAGACACATCTGCCACGTTAAGCTCTATATCCGTAATAATAATATATCCCCACAGTTCCGAAAAATTCCAGAACGCGAAACTGGAACCTCTGAATTCCGCTTTTAGTATTCTGCCAACGGCAAGTCCAAGCGGAGAAATTCTGAACTGCAGGCAAGCCGCCAAAGTCCCAATGGATGCCAAGCTACTCCGACTTCTGGCTAACCCCGAGTGCTGCTCCTTTAGCGTTTATGTGGGCAAGTACAAGTTTCAATGCCATCTGCAGGTCCTGCAGGCGCATTCCAGGTTCTTCCAGGACCTTGCCGATGCATCAGATACCCTCACTGCCCACTTGCCCAGCAACATGGTGACACCGACGGCCTTCCACGTCATCTACAACTGGATGCTGGACCTCACGAAGAGCCTGAAGGCAGGCTGCTCCCTGGTGGAGCTGTACAGCGCAGCCTTCTTTATGAAGATCGATGAGCTGGTGGAGTACGCCTTCGCTTGCTTCAACGAGAGCTCCATCTGCGGAAGCCTGGCCTTCGAACTGTTCCTCGAGGCGCAGAGGTTTGCGATCCACACACTCCAACTGCTGCTGCTATCCCGCATCGAGGTGTTCTTCCTGCCCCTGGTGGCCTCCAAGGACTTTGTGGAACTGGACATTAAATGGGTGCTGGATCTGCTGGGCACCCAAACTGTGGGCGTGAACAGTGAAATCGAGGTGAGACGATCGCGGACATTTCGGGGACAAGCTAATAGAGCGACCACACCCCACAGATCTTCATGAGTGCAGTTCGCTGGCTCAGTCATGACTGGACCGGACGGAAGGTGCACATGGAGAGGATTATGGACTGCGTCCGGTTCTGCCTGCTACCTCCGCTCTTCCTGCGGTTCCTGCAGGGGGAGCACCAGACCCTGGTGCTGAGCAGCATTTGCCAGAGCCCCAAAGTCAGGGAGCGAGTCAACAAGGCCTTCGTGTAAGTCCAGAACAGGAGACCAGTCCCTATAAGACACGATTCAATCTGCAGGTACACCTCCTCCGAACTCTGCGATCTGACAAAGGGCGTCATCAGCCTGGTCAAGGAATTAAGCGCCCCGGTGCAGCGGAAGTGGATATTCGACAGTCGCTGCTCCTACCACCGAAACCCAGGTGGAAACCAGGGTCAGTTCTTCACCTATCAGCAATTCCTCAACTACCTGGAGTCGCTCCACCAATCGCTGCCCGAGCATGGCTCCTAGGTCACCGGGGTCTTAGCCAAATCCCAATCCCCTTCCCCATTCCAATCCCTCTCCAAGCCAAGCCGAAAACGCAATGTGAAAGCCAGAAGGAAGTGTGCCGCAATGCTCCGCCAGTCGCCTCTCAATGAGGCAGCTCCAAAGAGTCCCCAAAGCGCCTTCACTGGACCGCTGCTTGCATGCGATTATAATGGCTCGTTTTGGTTTTGGCAAACAGAGTCAACAGAGATTTGGCAACCAGAAAGACAACAGCCAGCTTAGCGGCTTGACTTAACAATGGCCAAAGCGCTGGCGGATTAAGTGGAGTGCCTTTATAACTAATTAGGTAATGCGCAGCCGTTTGCAGGGGAACCTATTCATCAGGCATTCGTATCTATTTATAAATAAATTTGTAAGCTGCTTGTTACGTCATGATGGATTTATAACTGTGGGTACTTTGTGAGCCCATAAACAAAAGTCGTTCCTACTTGATGTAAAATCCGAATATATATTCCCAATTCGACAGCTACTAATGTCGTTAGTAGTTTCCAATCTTAACTGCTTCGCCAATGCCGTGACAATAAAAATATCAATTATATTCTCCATTAGTTTACTTCTGCTTGATAAGTCAGGTTGCGCCGCCTCATTTGAATATTGTCTTATGTTTCCAGAGACCAACAAAGCCCCCAACTGGGCCTAATCTTGCCGCGTCTCCGTTCCCAATTGGCTGGCGATTTTTCTGTGGGCCCCCACTGACTTGGTACCCCCAATCCATAGAATGCGGTTTAGCTTCTTAATGAACAGATTTATGTACTCACTCATTGCCGTTGGAATCTGCGCCGCGTGCGTCGTCAGAGCTGCGATTGTCTGCAAAGAAAGTGGAGACAAGTCACTCATTAGCATAGTTGGCTATAGTTGGCATATGGGCTACTCCGTCTTGGATCCCCCGACCCGACCCCTTTTCGACCACAAAGCGTTGACATAAATCACGACAAGCCGACATTAAGTCCCTGGCCTAATCCATCGGCAGTAAGCTTCTTTAATTAAAGGGGAAATTTCGATTTCGTGTTGCCGGCGGTTAGGAGAATCGCTGCATTCTCACGATTCTGAGGCTCCTTTGGACAGACTGGCAAACTTTCGCCAGCCTGGGTTAGAGTTGAACCCCAGCTCGATCCCAATTCCGATCCCGAACCTGAATGTCGGCTCTTTGGGGCCAAGCGGCTTAGAATGGCGCTGGTGTGCCACTTTTGGCCACTCGGAGTCGCGTTTAGCATACGGAGGAGGGAGCCTCCAGTCCCGCATCCAGGTTAATCGCATTGGCATGCAATTGTCATTCAGCGGGCTGCCTGATGTCTGATGCTTGATGCCTGATTGATGTGTTCTGGCCGACTGCAGCAATTTTCCATTTCGATGGGCCTGGGGAAGAACACAAATACCCAGCACAAAATACTTACGATTAAGTGCAGCGCCGTGTGGAAAGCGTCCATTCGAGTGCCTGTCTTCATGGTGCGAGCTGCAAGAGTGAGAGAAGACCGAGTGACGGATATTAAACCTTGGCAAATAGTCAAAACCGAATATATAAACTGAAAGCCCGCCGAAAACCGGTTCCACACCCACTGCACACATATAGGAATATGCTAAATCACTTGAACACAGCGATTCTGTAATGAACAACATCGTGGCCCAAAGGCCCAAAGGCAAACTTTCTGCTGCCAAATGGGTCAAGTCAACAGCGGCGAATTTGGGTTCGCGTGCGGACTCATTGCAAATGGGTTGGCCTCGCATCGAGTGGAATGTTGGTGGTGGTTCCTCCAGAAACGTTACATCTCGGAGGTGCCAGCAGTCGAGCGCTGGGCAAACAGACATCCACCAAGAGCAACTCATGGCATCATGGTATCATGACTCGGGTTTCCGCATTTTCTTGGCAACAGAAGCACAGACGAACAAATATTAAGCGCATATCAATAGCCCGTGACAAACGGTTTTCCACTTCCTGCCGATCGCTGAGAACTTTGCAGGCGAGTCACGCCACGCCAGGAAGTCATCTTCGAAGTGGCCACTACACAGAGCGTAATGCGTGGATAATACTTTCGGATAATACTCCCAGAATAGTAGTAATGAATACTTAAAGACCATATATACCATGTATACTCCTCACAGCTTAACCGCGTTTGCTGACCAATTTTACTACCACGCCATTAGAAATGTAATTATGTTTATTAAATATAAACCACCATTACAATAAATCACGAGTATTGCCACATTTGAGAATCCCGTTTTGGCCATAACACCACCCAGTTGATAGCCGAAATGAGATCATTTCTCGCCGTGCATGTGGATCCGTGTTTCGGGCGTCGTAAGACAACACAATGCGGCTAACACTGATGGTTGAAAGGCGATAATGATTTGTTGTTACCGCTGACTCTGCCAACACAATTCATTCACCACACACACACACACACACACAACGCCAGAGTGATGATGTCACAATACCAGCACTCCAGCCACATCCACTCACCCCGGGTCGAGATACAGACTCAAAGATACGGCCGGCTATTATCCGAGAGGTGTAATCTCGCTGGGAGTCTGGTTGCTATTGGAATTGGTTCGGGGAGCAGCACGGAATTGGGTCAATAGATCCGCTGGAAATTGATAGATTGTTGGCATTATGCGGCGAGCACACGTCAATTTGTCAAAGCTCGAGGCCCACACTTCCTGGACACCAGGCGATCCGTAAGTAGACAAACGTGGCTCGGAGTCGAATGCAAATTGCCAACTGACGCCAGTTGAGCCAGTGGGATGTATCCGGGCGGTACAAACGTACTCGTGCTTCCACTGGCATTGCAATAAATTAGCTAAAATTAGCAAATGACGCAAGCGACTCTAGCGAGATACACAGGTAAAAAGTGCGCATTGAAAACGCACCTCATGCAGGCAAAAAATGAAAAATGATTTGAAAAAATGCGGCGGAGCACGCCAACGAGCATTATGAATAATGACTTTGATTGGCATCTGCTCTCGTTACCCAGTTGGGGCTAAAAAAGCAGCAAAGGAAACAAACATGATGCCAAATGGCCAGTGGAAATGGCAAGCTGACCTTCAATTACGATCATCGGTGATAAGGGAAATTGCACGAAATTGGGGCACAAATTGCAGATATCTGGTCGTAATAAGCCCGGGAACGACTAGAACCCCCTGTTACCAAAAATGTTGAGGATTGATAATGTTAATATACCAAACTCTTCTCGGTAAGACTTCGCTTCCTGTAACTTCGTCGCAGTTGCCCCACTTGGAGCACTCCCCATGGAGCCCAAGAATATTATTCCTGACCAGCATAAAAATCAGGCATTGATGATTCACGGGCCAATCAATCGTGTGCACTCGAATGTAACGAATGGCTGCAAGTGTCGATTTGAATTCATTTGACACACATTTCCCAGAGCAAATAGCAGCGAAGTAACTAAATAAGCATTCGGTAAGACTGAAAACAAAAACCAACAAAATGGGCCGTGCAACTGAATAAATTAAATGGGTTTTGCGTGCCAGCCGGGCCACAAAGTTGTGAGCTTTATGTTTTTGTTAAAAGTTTAAACAATTGCAGTTTCATTGGAGTGTGTGCTCTGCTAATGTTAATGTGGCGGCTAAGTGACCTCGCGTGTTTCCATTTTCCCGTAGTTTACTTGCCTCAAATGCCCGACGCGGGTGTGCAAAAAACAGTTTTGAAATGCACACTTAGCTTTTCGGCTTTCTGCTTGAGCAAAACCGCCGGGAAAATGGAAAAGTGGGAAATAGTGTGAAAAAAGCGCGTAACTGTGCGTGAAATTGCGCCCAGCTGAGTATTCGAAAATGAAATGCTGGCGGCCGGCCGGCGGAGCCAATTCCCAATGAAGTGGCTAATTAGGGGAACGGACCTCCCGCGGATCTATCAACAATCTGGGTGAACCACATTAATCTAGGCGCCCACCTGGGAACCTTCGGAGATCTCAGCCATCTCGCGCAGCCAGTCAATTGGAATATCTGACGACTCCCATCTCGAAAGTCAGATCTGGTTCCAATCTGAATGGCCGAGGGCATTGGCAAATCGCAAATCACAAACAAAAACTGTGCTAAGCACACAAACCCATGGAAACCCATAACGTGGCTGACCCATTTGGAACTATGCCGATGGTGGTGCTGGTGGTGGTGGTGGTGGTGGTGGGGGGGATGTGTGAGGTTCTACCGACTTTCGGTTGCGGTTTGCCATTGCCATTAAAATGGGAAATCTCCGTCGTACATCGCGGCAGTAGAGTGATCAATCACACTCGGAGAAAAATGGCATGTCAAGCGATGATCAATTGCAGATTTCACACACTCGTACTATAAATTAAATAAGAATTAAGGCAGGTAGGGAAGTGTAAAGTGAATCCAACACGCTCCACATTCTGCTTGGCACACGGCATTCAAGTAGCAAGCCAAGCTTATTTTTCAGTGTAGCATAGCGATGCGTAGAGCCAATTTCGCTGCAATTCCGCTGGCGTAGAAAGTAAGTTGGGGAGGGTTAGGGCCTTCAAGACTGACCTCCGGAGACTGAAGACGGAACACTGGAGGTTGAAGACTGAAGACCCGCTCTGAAGATGCATTGTGCGATTGTCCCGCATTGTTCTTAATGACGGCAATTAACGAGTCGAACAAAAAGGGCAGCTAAGGCCATCCGCCGATTGAGGTCAGAGCGGCTTTATAGCCGGACTTCGAGCCCAGCTTTTACTTTTACTCGGGTCCGAAATTCTAGTTGGCCAGCGGGCTGGGGCTAATCAAGCGTCGAGATCAATGGCAATTGAGGCATCGACTTTCACCTGCTTGTGTATGCAGGCTCTGCTTTGCTTCTGAAAACCTGGAAATTAGAATTTTAAATGTGGACTTCAGATTTCAGATGCAGCAATTAGCTGGCACTTTATTGGGGATTGATAGCTTGCCAGGTAGTCAAAAAGCAGCGGATCGGAACGAACTTATTGCCACCCGGCGATTGCCTCAAGGTCGGTGCAATTGTCTCGCCGTCGCCTTTGTTCGCCCCAAATGAGCTAACAATGCTTAATTTGCTGTTGGCCAATTGCAATAAACGCCAACGCCGATTCCGTTTATAGATTTAATAGATTGGGCCAACGGCAGCCGACCAGCTCTAATGGCCAATTGGCCATTAAGACAATGTGAGAACTTGAAAATCGCGCATCATTAGGGGGCATTATAGTGGGAAAACGCAACCCCACCCTCTTGACCAAATGCGCTGACCTGCTTGTTGCCACACGCACCAAACTGGAGCGTGGAGACATCGGGTCTTGCCACACATTGTGCGAACCAAGTTTGGGTTTAAGACCAAAAGCTGCGTGTCTCTGCTTTGCTGCTGCCATGAAGTTATGTAAGTTCTCTGCAAATGGCGCGC